AGGCGCTGCGCTGGTCGCGGTTCGCGTAGTTGTCTCATTAGGCGGCGGGGGGCCTCTCTGCGGCGACACGTGCGTCGCAAGATAAGGCGCGTCAGCGCCTCACGGTGGCTGGCAACGGGGGAGGACGAGAGACGCTCGACTGAAGCCGGGGGGATGAAGGAGAATGAGCGAGTTGGGAAAAGAGGAAATGGTGAGAGACATAGGAAGATAGAAAACCTCAGAATGTGATGGGTGACCGTATCAGTTGTCACAAAGCGATGGGTAGTGGTGGTGATTGTGGAGGAGGTGGTGGTAGTGGATATGGTGGAAGTGGTGGTAGTGGATGTGGATGTGGTGGAAGTGGAGGTAGTGGATGTGGTGGAAGTGGTGGTAGTGGATGTGGTGGAGGTGGTGGTAGTGGATGTGGTGGAGGTGATGATGGTAGTAGTGTTGGGTGTGCAGGAGTTGGGGGAGGTAGTAATGGTGGTACTAGTGGAGGTGGTGGTGAGTGTAGTGGTGAATACAGAGGAGGTTGTGGTGTTGCTAGAAGATGGAGGATGTTGTGGACGTGGTGGTGGCGCTGATGGTGATAATGGTGGTGGTCGAATAGTAAGAATGGGCGGCGGGAGGTGAGAGGAATCGGCATAGAGGGACAGGTAGAAAGTCGTTTGGGGCGATGAGGTTAGGTGGACGGCGAGAGGGGCACGATCCGGCCGGAGGTCGGGGCACAGGTATAGGCGGGCACAGGAACGACAGAATGACTTAGACGAGACAGGCAGATTTTTTGGGACGCATAGGGTAGATGGTGGAGAACATGATGAGAGGGGATGATGTTGGAACGTCGATGGTGGTTAGACGATGCGGCGGAGGGCGGGCAGGCAAAAGAACTGGTGGAATGGCAGTTTAACTGATGGGACAGCGATGGGACAGGTGGGACGGTAGTGGTAGGCATGTGATGAGACGGTGATGTAACACCGTTCCACCGGTTGTGGGTTGATAGGGCGCGAGGTAAGAGTGCACTGACGCCTGTGACCCCAGCGGAACTTTGACGTTCGGATTCGTAGTAGGATGATAATTTGATTGATAAGGTTTCAACTAGAGGTTCTATCATTTCGGGTACAGTAATTATAAAGTTTCGTTAACAGATTCGCCAAATGATTATTTAATGATCACTGCACTTACACTAGTGAGATTTAACAGTAGCTATTTACTTATTGCAGTAAGAGTATGTTCCACTTCAAGCGGAGACCAGATTGCGCATTGTTACTCAAAAAAGATACTTTCTACAACTTTGTCAGTTGGAACCTTGTTCAAAAGACTAGAGATAACATCACAGAGGGACGGTGCAGAGAGGCAAGGAGTGCAAGGAGAACGAAGAAGTGCGGGCGGCGAACTGTGAGGAGAGAGAGAGAGAGAGAGAGAGAGAGAGAGAGACAGAAAGACACAGAGAGAGAGACAGAGAGAGACAGAGAAAGATAGAGAGACAGACAGAGACAAACACAGAGAGAGAGACAGACAGAGACAAACACAGAGAGAGAGACAGACAGAGAGGGAGACAGACAGAGAGAGACACAGAGAGAGACAGAGAGGGATAGAGAGAGACAGAGAGACACAGAGAGAGACACAGAGAGAGAAACAGAGAGAGAAACAGAGAGAGAAACAGAGAGAGAAACAGAGAGAGAAACAGAGAGACAGAGGGAGAGACAGAGGGAGAAACAGAGACAGAGAGAGAGAGAGAGAGAGAGAGAGAGAGAGAGCAACAAATGGCGTTGAGCGAGCGACGGTGAAAAGGCGGTGGCTGGAAGCGAAGCCGTGCGCGGAGGAGCGGTGGTTGGGCGGGGCGGGGAGCAATGGAGGCGAGGTCTGGCGCTGGGGGCGGCGTCAGCGGCGGAGTAAAGTGGGTCGTTCTCTCGAGAGCTAGACAAGGGACAGGAAGCGAGGCATCGTCGAGAGAAACATTAGCTGCGAGGGCCTCGCTTTACTTCTCGAGGGAGGCTGCTGAATACCATTCAGTGTAAACGGAGTGTCGGACGAGCGTTCGGATTAAAATACCGCACTTTATTTTTCTTTGCAAAACCTCTTCAATATCTATTTGCAACTATAAAATAGGATGATTTATGAGATGAAAATACGAATGCGACGTTATTTGAATTGAATTCGGATTAAATAGTTTTGCTTCTGTATTCCTTTACCTTTGTAACATTTTTCTTCAAAAACATTCTCAGTACTTACGTTTCTGGTATACTTTTCATGTTTTGAAGAAAATAGCAATTGATTTCTATTGTATTGATTCATCCTCTATTATTATTTAGCCTCCCAGAGATGTGGTAAAATTGTGAATTATTGTTAGTCAAATAATATAATTATTACTTGACCTCTTTTTATTAAAGAAAATAATAAGCTAATTCTTTCTTCTTCAAAGTTTTCGTGTCTTGGACAGTTGAAAAACTTGTTCATTGGTTAAAAATATATTGCGAGTCTCTAAATCCTTAATTCAAAAAGCTATATATTCATTTGTATTTGCTTTAATAGCAGTGAACACTAACCGTTATTTTTTTAAATTATATCGTTCATAAATGACATAAACTTTGAATACAGCTAATACTAGTTTATGATACTCTCTATATTTACATGAAACAAATAATGTTTCTCTTTATTATGAAACTTAAATTTCATTTAACTCTTCTCTCTCTCACGAAAGAATGAATGGGTCAAAGAATAACATTTTTACAAGCCTTTTAGAAAGATTGCTTCAACGAAATCACTGCAACCAATATTACTAATATTTGAGTTAAACAATTACACTCACACACCGCAAAAAGATTTGGAATTTTAAAAAAGAGGAGTATTTTATGACGAACAACAGTGTTTCGAGGTCGCGGAAAAATACCGTGGGCAGCAACGGTCTTCCGACTTGAAAGTAACATACGGAGATTTTTTATGCTCGCATGCAAACATGTCTTTGTGGTTGGCACTGATCACACCACTTCCTTGTTACAATTTATACGACATGAAAAGATTTGCATTTATTATGTCACCTCCCGTTAACTTTCCGTGTTCATTTTGCGCGTTGCTCAATCTTATTATACAATGTTTCAACACTATATGATTCATTTAACTACATTTCGTGAATACGTTAAATTTAAAAATATTACCTTATATATTTTTCCTTGAATATCGGAGAACATTAGATTAGGTGCTCTCATCAATTTCGCGGTCCCACGTTCACCGTCCACTATATTTTCATTTACAAACAAGGCAGTCAAGTTTCATTAAAAGAAAAAAATACTTCTGCTAAATGATTAATTAGTTATTTCGTTCAGATAAATAAAAATATGTATGCATTTGTCTTGGGAAGAAAAAAAAGTATGATACTCTTCAGACGAAAAATAGAATAAAGAACTACCTCACCTCATTCATTCACATGCCCCCCTTGGGGAATTCTTGTCGGTGTATAAATTTTAAATCTTATGAAAATATACTGAGAGTTCGTAAATCATTTTATAAAAGTCGAATACATTTCTTAGCAACGCCCTTTTTCCCCGTGACCTACACACAACCGCGCCAATTTTGCAACCAGCTCTTTCAATTGATTGATAGATTTATGATCCCGCGTCAAAGGTTAAGATCATTACTCCCGTAAATGTAGTGCATGCTTTATCTTGAAAGGTGGCAGAGATCTCTCAGTATGGTGAGATCCTACGACCACCTACCGGCGTCGGCTTTCTCCCAACCAGGTATCTTCCACCACCAAACCAGCAGTGACAAGGTCTAAGCTCCCGGTCGCCCAGCATGTGTGGTAGAGTAGTGAATGAGTGTATGGAAATAACGGTTGAATATAGGATGAGGAAGAAAATATCGCGCGCGGTCCGTAACCTGTTTGTTAAGGTACTGCTCCGGCATTCGCCTCTAATTGATCAGAGAAACCACGCGAGTTCTTCCAACACAGGAGTCATTTGACGCTTTAATTTATTGCGATCTCTTTCCACTCAAACTCAGTCCCTCAATCGTCACTAATCTGCAACTGCCCGTCTTCTACTTTGGTAGTAGCGCGATTAGAAAGTTGAACACGATAGCGCCACGATTCCCCGAAGAGGTAAACAATGTCAAAGTGCCGGCCCGCCTGCCTGTCGAAGCTTGAGGATGTGGCTTCGGAAAGTCCTGATGGGGAGGGTTTAGAGCGCGTGACGCGGGGATGGATTTGCCAATTACGTCGAGCCAATGAAACCGCTCTCTCGGGGGAGGCCTGTCGACCCACGCAAACGACGCGCCGCTTGGAGGAGACACGCGGAATGAAGCTTCCTGGAGAGAAATGGGCGACGAAAAGGAAGACAAGGCTGAAAACAAAAACCAAGCGGACGGAGACTATGCGAGAGAAGGATGCGGAATGATCCCATGTCGCTGGCGAAGGAGCACTTAGATGGAAGTTGACGAATAGAAGGGTGAACGAGATAATAAATAATTGCATCTAGCCATTGTATGTCCCGTAAAGCGCAACCGGCCTCAGGGCCGTTAGATACCGGGGTTTCTAGTCGGTTACCCAACTAGGAACCCGCGATGTCTCGAATTCTCCTAACCTTCGTGATTTCATGTAGTTAACAAAGTCGGCTAGCGATGCCGGTTTCTTGGTCGCGGCCTTTCAGTACAAGCATCCCAGCATTCACCTGGATGACGCAGGATAACAACGAAAACAACGGTCGGGATGGCCGGTAAGGGGATTGAAACCGGGCCTCCCGAATGCGAAGTCATCGCGGTACGCCCTGAGTCACTTCGCACGGTAAGACGATAATTATAGCAAAAGACAAAGATGAATTATTTTTCAAAAAATAAGTAAGAAGTGAGTCAATAGCGCGGGCGCATGTGATGATGAAGAAGCTGTAAGAATGATGAACGAACAGGACGGGGTGTGAGAAAATAATGATTGCAAAGACTTAGAAGGTAGTAAAGAGAAAGTAAGATCAGAAAAATTAGATAATTCGAAAACGATTAAAGTCAGTAAAAAATCGTTAGAACTATAAGGAATGACGACAGATATTCGGGAAATGCTTTTAGCCAGAGCCAGAGGAGAGGCACGTAAAAACATTTGGAAATAAGGAGAAGTAAGAGAAGAATGATTTACAAATAACGCCTTAAAATGCTCTTTAGAACAGGAAAAGTTATTCTTCCAGACATATTCAAGAAAACGTGTGCTAGAGAACTAGTAACGGAATGGAAATTGTTATTTTTCAAAAGAGTTCAAATATACATTTGAAAGATAGAAACATCACGTTTATTAAGTAATAATGCTTTGAAGAATTCTACAAACATTAAGAACATTCGAGAAAAGGATACATAATAAATTGGTTTACAACATTTTGTAAACGTGAAGTAAAGGTCGAAGTAGGACTCCACAGCGTGATGAAGTTGCGGAGGATAGGATGAGGCAAAGATGTGGTTCAGAGACTTCAAAGGCAACCCAGTTTCTCCAGAGATCACACAAAGTGAAGTAAAGTGGAATGACTACAGAAACGCGCACAGGAATTGAGAACTGAAGCATCTGCGCGGCACTTCCGCCTTGAAAACCTGAAATGCTTGACAAACTTGCGGCAAAGTTCCAAAGCGCGAAGAGAATAATCACATCAGAGAGCAATGCACTGTAATCGCACCCACAAACAAACACGTGCACGAAGGGGCGCACCCGCTCACTCTCACGCACAAATCCACTCGTATATGCACACCCACCCGTTTGCACGCATCTACCCTCTTCCTTCCGGTCACTAACCCACTCGCACGTGCCCAACCACCCGCTCTCATTTTCCCACCACCCACTCGTTCACGCTCTTTCACCACGAAACTGACACGCATCATTAAACCCACTGGTAAGCGCCCACCCGCGTCCACTCACCCACACACACCTACTCGCACACACCCACTTACCCTCTAGCACGCACTCACCCCACCCACCTAATCGCACGCACCCGTCCCCACCCACCGATTCGCACTCGGCCACCTATCTACCCACTAGTATGTGCTCATCTACTCACTGGTGTTCACCCATCTACCCATCAACACTCGCACGCGCTCATCCCCCCACTGTAACGTCTCATTCATTAGTCGCAGATACGTCGTCATCGACTTCCAGTCGGTTTGTTCATCTTATGAGAAATTAAAGTCTTCCCCAACAACAAGAATAAAAATTTAATGACAACACTTCCGTTTTACAGGTTCAGAAGACATTAAATTTTCAAACACTAAGTATTATGTTGTTGATATCTTTAGCAAATCATGCATTCTATTCCATAAAACCCACAAACAGTGGTACCGAGAAGCGCTCGTGCTAGCCTTCACAACCTCTCAAAGCATTCTTCTTATTTATCCAGGGCCTTCTAACATGACATCCTGTTGCTATGTGGAGACAATTGACAATAATAGATAGCTATATTACTACCACCCTCCTACTCGCACGCTCTCACCCACCCAGGCAGTCGCACGCGTACATCCAGTCACACGTCCCCGCATGCTTTGACACTCGCTCATCCTCCCACCTCACCATACGACTATGAATACCAAACCGCACGGAGAATTTTCTTACGGGGGTCTCAATAATGCGTTTGGATAAGCAAGCTTTGAACCGTGAAAGGCGAAGAGAAAATGAAGTTACGACTTACGCACGTTATCACTTTATATCTAAGAAAGCACCTACACTTGAACCTCCGATCTAATTAAGGGCTCATTTTCTGAGCTTGTTATTCTGTCACATTTTATTGAAATTACAAGACATATTGGAGACATCAGGGAGATACATTCTTATATCATGTTTCCTTAAGTGTCAATCTCCATTACCTGATATTATAGTAACTACACACATTTCCATCCCTTGTAATGCGAGTTAGCATATTGAAGTTATACTGTAAGTTAGTAATTGCTGTGAATTTGAATGTGAATGTCTGTTAGCTGTCAGCTGAATGTGAATGTGACAGTAAGTGCGTGTGTGGGGTACGTTTGTAACTTTGCCTATTAATTCACTCATTACTGTTCGCGTTATTATAATTTAAAACTGAATTGTCACTTCTTTTCTTTTAAAAACTTTTGCTCCCAACTTGCACTATTTCCCCTTCTAATTTTTCTTTTACCCTCTTCTGTCCATCTCTCGCACATACTTCATGATCACGCCTCTCTATTCCCTTTCATTCTTCAACTCATTAAGAAGACTATTCCACTCGTGAAATTAAAACCAATATGGATAACACACACAAAATGCCCCAATCAGGGTGTATCTAAACGTTTATCGCTTTTTCTTACCGCTTCTTACTACTGGCCAATCATAAACTGAGACTCCTTCGGAGGGGGTATCGTACATCGATCGCTATGTCGATGTCCAATAAACCGCATGTGTACTATAACATAACCTATATGTTTTCAACATAGCTTTCAGTTATTTTCAATATTTGACGCATTTTGAAACTTCACTGAACATAATTTCACACCTGGAATAATCTAATAAATACCACTCGTACTTTGGAAATTATCCCCACCTAGCTTCGCGAGTCGGGAATTTATCGACAATTTCCAAAGCACTCGAAATTACCTGCGATAATTTCTCCAACAATCTCCTCTCTCCACCAACGCGTGAGGTGAAGGAGGTAGTGGTGTCTAAGACGGTAGCGCCTTCCCATTCCTGCTTCACGTCTCCCCGCCACTCCGCTTCGCTTTCCTCCGCTCCACGCGCCCTAAAGGTGCGACCTTTACGAGCTCGGGAGTCAACTTCGCGTCTGCCGGCGATCGTTCAGGTTTACGGATGAACGCCAGAGTGGATTACGAGGGCGACCCGAGAAGTTGGAAGAAAAATATTCTGCGGGGAGGCCGGTCGATAGCGGATCGTCTTTCGAGTACAAAGTAGTTAGAGCTCTGCTGTAATTTGAGACCTCTTCGTAAGACATGGTCCATCAACGTACTTCATTTTGTTTTCTTTGCGATGGAAGTTGAACATATCGAATTTATTATGAGAACTTGCGAATAGTCTGTTACTTTCAATTTGCAATGCAAAATGAAAGTGCATAAAGCAACAAGTTAGTGAGTTTTATTATCTTTTCAGGTAGTATTTGAATATTCAAAAGTATACCGAACGTTTTAGAGAATGAAAATAATGCGGAATTCATTGACTTGTTAAAAATAATGAAACAAATATTATAAATATATTTTTTACGTTCATATATTTTCATAATTGTGTACTTTTCCTATTTCTTAGTTGCTTACATTCGTAACGTAAGATTCTTTTAAATTTATTTGACGTAATGACGTTCCAATTTTACCCCCGAAAACTACAAGTTAATTAAAAAATTCAGAAATCTCTCATTAAGTAAGTATTTCAAGAAAATCACAAACAACATCAGATGAAAAAGTGTAAATAAATCACAATTTAATGGAAGACTATTATGAAAATACCTTATTTTTCATAATACGTCAATACAATCGACAGGAAAATAGAGACAAGAATAAGATGCTCAATTCTACTGTATTGACGGAACACGAAAACACATTAAGTAATTTTGAAGGAAATCATTTTTCTTTACCCAATATGGTAGGCGATTAAAAACATTTACATTTCTCAAATAGTAGTGCTACAATAGATAATAGTTTCTAGTATTATTTGTAACGTATAAATAATATTACAACATTACATGAATCTCCAATGCATTTCCAAACAGTATTTATCTTCACTCAGGGATTTGAACTCAGATCCTTAGCCAGTTACGATTCCCCTACATCATCATCAACGCAGTTTAACTCTATCTTGCGCATACTTAAAAAAATAATATTTCAAATACATATTTTAACAATTTAGATATTTTATTAACATTATTTATTGATATAGTTACAAGAAACAGATTTCATTAAGAAAGAAATCTCTCTTTTTAATATTGTAGCTGTAGTAAGAAGTCGAAAACAATTTGAACTTTTGTGATTTTCTAAAATTCAAATAACTTCGTCATTTGTAAGCGTTATTTACGCTATTCGATCAAAATAAAAAAAGGTGAAGCAATTATTGATAAAATTTAGAATATGTAGTTAAGGAATAATATAAAGTGCCTCCAAACAAAAATCAAAATACCTATTTCAAACTCACAGGGTCTGGAGATCGTCTAGAACGATTGAAAAAAATACCAATTTTCGAGAAAATCGACGGACGGACCGACGGACGGGCAGACAGATAGACAGACAGACACA